ATACTAAGTATAAATACAGCGATGGCGTACTCACCGGAAAAGTACCAAGCCAATAAGGTTAGCATCAGCGCAACTAAACGTCGCTACTACCTTAAAAATCGAGAAAAAATTCTTGCTCGCCAGAAGACTTATGATGATCAGCATAGAGACCAAATCAAAGAAAAACAAAAGAAATACCATTAGAAAGAAATCGAAAGAATCGCTCTAGACTAGTGATCTATTTTTTTATCGTAGGAAAAGTCAGTCTATCTTAAGCATTGATGACAGCAATATATACAAAGTTGTTCAAAGATAATTTTATCTCAAGTCTCATATACTCGGAAATGTTGTCCAACGAACTTGAAGCTTTGAAGCGTTTGAACATTCCCGTTAAGCGATGGGGGTCTAGCTTCCGTGTTAAGGTTAGAAACAAGTATGGACGAGTCGTTTATATATCTTCGTTTTCGAAAGGAAGCAACCGTAAGCTACTCGCAAAGCAGTACAACCTTTCAGAGTCGCGAGTTCACACTAACTTTTCAAAGGACTACAAGCGTCCTGGGCTATACTCCTTCTTCAAGAGTAAAGTCCGAGAGACACATTTATATGAGTACTATACTAAGGATGAAATATATAAGAACATTCGCTCAACCTTAAAGAAACAATCAAAAGCATTCAAGGTTAATGTTCAATTGGGATACAAGCTAGTCGATCGAGTTAGCGGACTCGAGCGAAGCTTTTGGCCTGGAACGAACACAGCACTCTTTGACAATCCCATTGGGATCAACAGCAAGGATGATATCGAGAGCAAAGTCATGGGCATGATTCAATCCAAAGATTTTGCCGATCGCATTAGCTACCCAAGTTCAAGTTACCAACTGAAGGAGATCACTATGGCAAATATCGTTATATCATACAGAAACCATTCACTAGGAGAAAACCTGGTCATTCCCGATGTGATCAAGAAGAACCGATATATTTGTGATTTTCCAAAAACGGATAACAAATGTGTTTTCTTCTGTATCGCCTACCACCTAACTAAGGAAGCTAGATTGAATAGAATGACTTCACTCGTTAAGAATCGAGTTAGAGAATTTTGTGAGTTCAAAGGTATTGAGTATTCCACTTCATTCTACAAACAAATGGAGCCTATTGATATCATGCAGTTTGATGAACTGGAAGATTGCTACAAGCTAAGAATTAATGTTTATGAGATGGATCAAGATTCACTTGAAGTATCACTCATTCGCGAATCTAAGAAGGAATATCCAAATCGCATCAACCTCCTTGATTACAAGTCCCACGCGATGTACATATCTAATCTCGATATGGTCTTGTCCAAGTATCCCTGTAACATATGCGAAGCAGTATTCACTAATTGTGATAAGCTTGCCGCTCATAAAAAGACTAAATGTCAATTTGAAGTACTAGAATCATTTCCGAAGTCTCCAACAGTGTATCAACCGCCTCAAAACCAAATTCGAAAGCTTCTGACAAGATTTGGTATTAAGGGGGTTGATCACTACATTGATCATTTCATCGTATATGACTTTGAGGCCATTCTAAAGCAAACATCAATCGAGCATGGTTCAAATACGACATTTACTAATCAACACATCCCTGTATCAGTAAGCATATGTAATAGTCTCACTCAAGAGGTTCGATGCTTTGTCAGAGAATCACCAATTGATCTCCTCAGAGACATGTTTGCCTATGTCGAAGAAATAGCTAGAGAAATTCAGAAGTACAATATATTGAAGTACGACTCCTTGGTTAGAACCATATTAGGCAAATACCCTCTCTCTGGAATGAATATTCCTAACAAGGCTATATCTGCGAGCTACAGTATCAGCGACGTTGAGGAATGGATTCGGGATGGAGAATATGAATCGCTCTATGACTTCCACCGCGCAATTGGTATCCCTAAGAAGCATCCATATGGCGATCTTAAGAAAGCAATCGATCCGGTTCCTGTGTTTGGTTTCAATTCTGGAAGATATGATATTAACCTGATCAAGAACGATCTATTTACGGTACTCGGGGTCAACAATATCAAGTCTGTCATTAAGAATCCTAGCTACATGTGCATCAGCACAAGCAATTTCAAACTGCTTGATATTCTCAACTATGTCCCAGCAGGGACGTCCTATGAAAAATACCTATCAACGTACATTGGGGGCTGCACGTGTGAAGACAAAATTCGATGCATATGTGGCCTGAGTAAAGGTGTCTTTCCCTATGAGTACATCAAAACATTCGACATCCTTAATGAAACTACTATCCCTCCAAAGTCTGCTTTTGATAGTGACTTCCGTGGAACGAAGATCAGTGACGTAGATTATGAGCGTGTAAAATTCGTTTGGGAATATTACGGGATGAAGAGTATTAAGGATCTATTGGTTTGGTACAACAATCTGGATGTCAAGCCTTTCGTTCAAGCTATCAAGGCTCAACGTGAACTGTTCAAGAAATTTGATCTTGACAT